CCAAATCCTCACGCAAAAAACTCTCAGTAGAAAACCTTCTCACTTGTCTGAACGTGAAAAGTGGCTTCTCCTTGCCACTGGGGCTCTGACTGTATCCACTAGCACCACATCCAGCTGGGCTCGCTGGTCCCTCCATATCAGACGAGTCACCGCTGCTGCCATTGCCACCCTGTGGATTGAAGTGCAGCTGTTTGCGTCTGTGCAATCGGCGAATTTCCTCCCTGATGTTGGCAGCCATTTTTTCTTCATGAATCATAAATACCAAAAAATTACTCCAAAACCCTCGGTAGCCCTTCCCCCGGTTCTTCTCCCCCAAGAAAAAAAATAATTCAGTAGGGAAATGATAAAACGGTTTAAGTCGACATACCTCGCACTTGCGTTTTTGAGAAATATTTCCGAATCTAAGGGAGATAGCGAAATTCTCGTAATTATATTTGTTGTAGCACTCACTCGGCTCTACAAAAAAGGTTATAACAACAATTTCGCTGTTTCCCTTAGATTTGAAGATATTCAGTGAAAACTGGTCAATAGTCAAAATTGACTTCCGTTTTACCACTTCGCTACTGAATTGTTTTGTTCACGAGGGATGCATCTCCTGCAGGAACTCTGTTCAAAGGCCCCCTAGACCCCCTGGGAGTCCAAACTTCCCATTATGACGCTCCCAACCTCCAGAAAGAGCCCCAAAGGTTCCACGTCCGTTACGCCATTACCATATGATTTACACGGGCGTAAATATATCCCTGAGTCACTCTATTTCCATTCCCATTGCCATTTGTTCTTTCTTAATCATGTAAACCAAAAAAATTATTCAAAACTCTCAGTACCCCTTCCCCCCAGAGTTCTCTTAATAAATACTTTCATCATCTTCATCATTCTCTCCCAACAAAAAAATCAAACAAAAAATTCCTTCGACCCCCAGAGGTGCATCTCCCGCATCCTCTCTCTCCTCCCTCTCCCCGACCCTAGGAAATCCAAAATTCCAATTTCCAAACTCCCAAAAGAAACCCAAAGGTAGCGACGTCCGTTACGACATTACCGTATGATTTACACGTATGTAAATCCATTCCTCGCCCACTCTATTTCCATCTCCAATGCCATTTTTCTTCATCAATCATAAAAACTAGAAAAATGACTCCAAAAAAATCCTTTGTCGTTAATTTTTCTGGTGCTGCTTGATGATTTTAATTGGTCCTAGCGCCTGAATTTTTCTAGAAAATTCTCCTGCGTGCATAAAAACCAAAAATATGACTAAAACCCTCAGAAACCGCTCCCTTCCCCAAAAAAAAAAAACAAATAAAAATTGCCTTGTCATTGTTTTTTGAGACTGCAAGATAATTTCAATTGGTCTTAGCCCATGAATTTTCATAGGAAATTCTCTTTTGATCGATATGGTGATATCCTCCAACTGAAAAAGCAAGCATCATTTCTCCAGGAAATTCTCCGTGCATAAAACCAAAAAAATTACTCTAAAACCCTCCCCCCCCAAAAAAAAACAAATAAAAATTGCCTTGTCAATTTTTTTGAGGCTGCAAGATAATGTCAATTGGTCTTAGCCCATGAATTTTCCTACGAAATTCTCCTTCTTCTTTTGATCGATATGGTGATATCCTCCAACTGAAAAAGCAAGCATCATTTCTCCAGGAAATTCTCCGTGCATAAAACCAAAAAAATTACTCTAAAACCCTCCCCCCCCAAAAAAAAACAAATAAAAATTGCCTTGTCAATTTTTTTGAGGCTGCAAGATAATGTCAATTGGTCTTAGCCCATGAATTTTCCTACGAAATTCTCCTTCTTCTTTTGATCGATATGGTGATATCCTCCAACTGAAAAAGCAAGCATCATTTCTCCAGGAAATTCTTCGTGCATAAACCCAAAAAGATGACTCCAAACCCTAGAAACCCCTTCCCCGTCGCCTCCCCCAAATAACAAATGTCTTTGTCACCCAGAGAGATGCATCTCCCGCAGTCCCCTCTCCCCCCCCCCACC